AGAAAAAGATAACTCAAGCCTCGAATGAAATGAATTATATTCCGAGTGGCAGAACCTCAAGAATTGAGGAACTTGATCTAAGAAGAATCATCACTTTTATGTGGGGTATGTTACCCAAATGATATGATGTTTTCAAAAAAAAATTTAAAGAAGCCACGTCTGATTTTCAGAGGCTCCTTATAGAATGTTTTCGAATGAACTTTTAAAAGAAGTTAAGCCTAATTTTTGGGGGTTTCTTGATGTTTTCAAATGAGTTTTTTTTAGAAACTAAGCCTGATTTTCAGGGGTTTCTTGATGATGTTTCCAAATGAATTTTTAAAAGAAGCTAAGCCTAATTTTTAGGGGTTTTTTGATGTTTCTAAATGAGTTTTTAGAAACTAAGCTGATTTTCAGGAGTTTATTGATGATTATTTCCAAAGAATTTTTAAAAGAAGCTAAGCATAATTTTTAGGAGTTCTTAATGATAACTGAAAACAAAAGATTTTAATAAACTAAACTTGATTTTCAAGGGTTTCTTGATGAGTAAGTATTCGGGCCATCAGTAAGTCTTTCGAGCATGATGCTTAAATCATTCGGGTCATTTATAAGTCTTTCGAGCATTCCATAAGACCTTCGGACATGATGTTTTCAACATTTTCTTTGCTCGATTCATGGCATTTCGAATCAGCGACGCCTCACTTGAAGGATCAACATCTCGCTTGAGATAGTTTCACTCGAAACATAAGATTTTATTTCGTTTAAGATAGTTTCACTAGAAACAGAATATTTTTATCTCGCTTGAGATAGTTTCACTTGAAATAGAATATTTATATCGTTTGAGATAGTTTCACACGAAACATAAGATTTTATCTCGCTTGAGATAGTTTTTCTCGAAACATAATATTTATCTCGCTTAAGATAGTGTCACTCAAAATAGAAGATTTATCTCGCTTGAGATATTTTCACTCGAAACAGAAGTTTTATCTCAGTTGAGACAGTTTCACTCGAAATAGAAGATTTTATATCGCTTGAGACATTTTCAGTCAAAACATAAGATTTTTCTCACTTAATATTGTTTTTCTTAAAACAAACTACGCCCCACCAAAGGGTCAATATTTCCTTTGCTAGATTCACAACACTTCGAATCAGTAACACCCCACCAGAGGGGTTAACATTTCCTATTGCTCGATTCACAGCACTTCAAATCAGCAACGCCCCACCAGAGTGGATAACATTTCTTTTGCTCAATTCACACAACACTTCAAATCAACAATGCCCCACCAGAGGGGATAGCATTTCTTTTGCTAAATTCACACAACACTTCAAATCAACGACGCATCACTCAAGGGATCAACATTTCCAGTAGAGATTTCATGAGAAGAATTTATTCAACCTTGGCTCGATTCACGACACTTCGAATCAGTGACGCCTCACTCAAAGGACCAATATCTCCAGTAGAGAATTCATAATAAAGAACTCGATTCATGGCATTTCGAATCAGCAACGCCTCACTCGAGGGATCAAAATTTACAGTGGACAGACCATGAAAAGAAAAACCCACGGCATGAAGAGCAGAAACTGAGTCAAAAATGGCGCTCTATTGTCTTTGCTTCATTCCCTTTTCACAACAATGAGCAAAGAGGGGCAATTGTGAGAACCATTTTTTTCATAGAAGCATACCCAAATAGCCCAATCAGTTGACCCAGATAAATCAAACAACCCGGAGCCCAAAAAAGAGGACTCGACCCAGACCCGAATCATACCCGACCCAGGTCTAACCCTAGACCCTAGGTAGCCGCCCCTAAACCCCTATCAAATTTGTCACCCATTCCCCCGACCAGAGGTTGCCGATCTTTACACCAACCAGATGATAGCCACACCCGCACGCCAATACGCCACTTCCTGCAGAAAACATCAAGAAAAACAACAAAATATAATCATTATTTTTCTCTCTGTAAAATGGGTATAAACCCTAAAACTAAACACTATAATCATGGTTTGATTTTTTCATTCTAAAATCAATAAAAAAGCAGAAAAACCGACAGTTCCAATGCAATTTATAACTTTTTTTCAAACCTTTCGAAAGTAAAAAAAAGAGAAAGAGCGTTATCGATCGACCGGAGCCTCGTTGGTGTTCGGAGAATCGGTTCACAGATCCAAACGGTGAGGAGGAGTGTCTCAATGAGGGGAGAGCATACTGAATTTGGGTCCGATCCAACGACGGACGGTGGAGATCCGGGCGGTGTAAGTCGAGGGGTTCTCAGCGGTATTGGGGGCCTTTTTAACAAAATGAGCCTGGATCCGTGACCACCGCGTCGAGACGAGTTTCCCGGTAAATTTTGGTGTCCAGCAGTGACCGGGCCGGCAGGGCCCGACGATCGGCGAGCAATTGGAATTCTAGAGAGAATAGAGACCCTCTCTCTCTAGAAAAATTAAAACGGCAAAAGTGAAATGTTAAAAAAAAGAAAAAAAATTGCTTTTATAGAAAAATTTTGGAGTAAATAACGTTTTAAGTCCCCCAAACTTTCACGTATTTTTACAAAATGGTCACTGTCAATGACCATTTTTATAACTTTCCTATTTATTTGTATTTTTTGTATTTTTTGGTAAAATATCATTCTAGGTCCCCCAAACTTTGTCGTGTTTTTTCAAAATAGTCACTGTCATGGATTGTTTTCATAATTTTCCCATTTACATGCATGCTTTATATTTTTTGGTAAAATCTCATTCCAGGTCCCCCTATGTTTGTTTTGTTTTTGCATTTTGGTCACTGGACCTTTTGTTTCTAATTTATTACAATTTTATCACTATATTTTATTTTATTTTAATTTAGTCACTATTAATTTTGATTTAGTTACTATAATTTCATTTTTTGCATTTTGGTCACTATTTACTTCTTATTTAACTACTAACTTTTATTTTCTTGCATTTTAGTCACTGTTATTTTATTTTATGCAAATTAGGTCCTTGTATTTCTGTTTATTTTATTTTTTATTTATGTTTTTTTTTACTTTTTTATGTATTTATTTATTTTATTATTTTAATTAAGTTTATTATTAATTGTTTTGTTTCATAATTTAATTCTTAGATTTAGTTTTAAATTAGATTAACACTCGAATCGAACTTAGAAATTAGGATGACACTCTAGTTTAATTAGGGAGCAATTCAAGTCGAGTTTTCGCATAAGATGGTCGATTACTCGAATCGATTGCTCAAACCTTAAAAATTATTAATAAATAATTTCTCTAAAAAACCTTAGGTTTAATAATTTAGATATATCTAGAATTTATATTGTTAATTAGCCCCCAACTTTAGAAATTATCAATTTAGGTCCTAAACTTTTAGTCTTTTAGAACTCGATATTTTAGATCTTGACCTTTTAATCCCTGAATTTCAATTAGAACTTTATTATTGACATAATTAATTAAGATTAACATTAGAGCATCCATCTTAGGTTTGATTTCACATTTAGTCCTTTAATTAGGTGAATTTTTAATTTGGTATCGCTTTTGCTCGAGGTTCAAATTTAATTATTCAAAGCAATGTTTATTAAAATTAATTTAATTTAATGTTAGAACCTCTACTTTAGGTTAGATTTCAAATGAGTCTTTTAATTTAGGGGATAATTCGAGTCGGCCCTCGCGTAAATGCTCGAGGGACCATCTCGGTTATTTGATTCAATAATTGATTTAAAATCAAATAAGGTTAATATTAGAAACTACACTTCTAGGTTAGTGCCTTTAGGTTCTTTAATTTTCATAATTTGACACCTTAAGCTAGAGAAAGCCTTTAATTTACCTTAGCTTAATTAGGATTAAATAAAAATTTGTTTGATTGCATTGCTTTTTTAAAACCTAATGCAATGTTCACTTATTAGGGAATTAATGATATATCTCCACAAGTATGCTCAGGGGGTGACTATTGGTGATTCCCGAAATAGGTTGACATCCTTTTCAATGACCGCAATATTCGGTCATTAGGCACAATAGCTTATCTCCCGCATTTACGCTTGGGAGCGAATGTTATATGTCTCAATAAACGAATACCCTTTTCAACTTTGCATCCGTAATGATTTTTAAATTAAATAAAGATTGAACTCAAAAATTTCGATTTTAAATATAGGGTAATCAACTAGGTACCAATTTTTAGGCGCTTGTGGGGGTGTTAATCCTTCCCCACTCGTAACTGACTCTCGAACCCGATTTCTGGATTTTCGCATACCTTAAAACTTGGTATTTTTATAAAAATAAAATATTTTATTAAAATTACCCGGTTTTCATTGTGTCCCAATGCTGATTGGTGGCGACTCCTCACATTTCAAAAATTCCTTTCAAAGAGAAAACCCCCGAGTTGATATCGATCTTTCCCCACCCGGGCGAAAAATGGTGTCGACACATATTATATATTTTCTTTATATTTTTTATTGATAATCTATCTGATTTCACTTCTTAAAATTTTATAACTCGGTTCGGTTCTTTTAAAATTTTAAAAGTTTATATCTTAACATAAAATCTTGTATCTGTTTCTCGATTCACGTAGACAAGAGGGATAACAAGTATAAAATTCAAGTCTCCATCCCCAGACTATAGTATGCTTTTGTACCATTAAGTGGCCGATTCGTTTGGTTCACATAGGCCAGTAGGTTAGCTAAGTGTAGTTTAAAAGCTTGGAGAATGGAGTGAGAGTGAATAGTGGTGTACTTTACCTAAAACGCATAGGTGGATCCAAGTTGCAATCTGGCTGGGTTTGCCATCTATTTATTAATTTTTTGTCTTATATATTAATGAAATAGATAGACATGGACGAGAAGTTATTAGCTTTCTTGCAAACCAATACAAGAGAACCTAATCCACCACTTTCGCTTGTGGAATTGGTGATCCATCACATATTCACATGGTTCTCCAACTCATAAAGGAATCAAAACAGGTCTAGCAACCCAAACCAAAAAAAAAATTGAACTTTTCAGCTTCACCGACATGGAATAAGGTTCAAACAATTCAAAGAATGGACAATTATGAATGATATTAGTGAGAAAAACAGGTAAAAGTTAACAATTTCTAGTAATGGCAATCAACCAAAGAAGATGCAGAAAAGACCAGTAGTTTTTCCTTGGAAGCAAATTGATGATCGTCTTCTGGGGCTGGAAGATTAAGATCCAATTGCAGAACAGTTCTTGGTTTATTGGACAACATATCATCTGTTCCGGCACTGCTTCTTGTTGGGGCATTTGTAGATGTCCTATGCCTCCTCATGTGACCGCCGAGAGCTTGACCGGAAGAGAACTCCGCGCCACATATGGAACACTCATGAACTCTGGATTTCTTGTTCGTTACACGAAGCGAAAGGGTTGTGTTCATGTTATCATCTTCTTTCGAAAACTCTTCATGATGAACCTTGGGTTTCTTGTGGCTGGCTCTATGTCCACCAAGAGCCTGGAACGAAGGGAAGCACCGATTACACGTCTTGCACTGATGAACATACGAAGAAACCGGTTCCGATGGTTTCCTCGTTTGACCTTGAGACAGAAGCATTAAACAATAAGCCATGTTTTCTTCATCTTCTTCTTCTTCAGCAGTGTTATCATGTGTTTCAAGTTCAACAGATGTCGTTGTTGAACCAGAAGCTCCATCAAACTCCCTCGAAAAAACATTACTTCTCCTGATTTCACCGCCACTAGAGCATGTCGTGCTAGTAGCTATCCTTGGACGCTTTGTTCGCTTCCCTTTGATTATCTGCAACTGATCATCTTTACAAAGGACAACTTCCTCCATCATCTTCTCTAATTATATATAATATCGATACCCTTTGAACAGTTATCCTGGAATTGGCTTTGCCAGTAATGTATTTGTATCTCCAACCTTGGAAGTAATCAAATATATATAGGCAAAAACACAAGCGTGTATATATATGTGTGTGAGAGAGAGAAAGAGAGAGAGAAAGAAGATGGGAATGGCAAGTAAATGGAGGAAAAGAGTGAGATTCGTGTGGCTTTGAAGCAAACGCCATTACTTTTTCCCAACGATACCTCAGGCTGTGCGGGAGGATAGGTTTGCAAGCCTGGAAACCGCAGAATTTGCACCTTTCACCCCATACTTTATTTATTTTTTTCACCACTCCATCTAATTGGTGCATTGTATTCTACTGTATAATTTAAAATTCTTTTTTTAAACATTTACATTTATTTAAATATATATTTTTTAAAATATAACATTCTAAAATATATATTAAAATATCTATTATTTGATATATTGATAGTAAAAAGAATAATCCAACAAGTAATGTCGGAAAGATATTAAGTTTTTTAAAAATAAACTTAAAAAATTTAAAAATAAATAATGAGAAATTTGATAACATCTAAATATTGTTTATAAAATTATTTTTTACTATTAATATAATAATTCTTAAAAGATATTGATTTATATCATATATATATATATATATATTTACTTTTATACTTCATTTTTTATTAATAGTTTAAAGTAATTACAATGTAATATTTTAGGATGAACATGAGTCAGGTTGGGTGGGTTTATCATTCAAATAGACCTGACTCAAAAATTATACACCCTCCACCCAACCCAAATCTGACCCGAAAAATCGACACCCTTTACTCGACATGCCTTTTTTGAGATAAAATCTAACCCCAACCCGACTTGACCCGAAATAATATATTTATAAAAAATATTTTTTATTCAATAAAAATAGGGATTTAATTTAAAAATAATATATAAAGTGGTATTATTGTAATTAGCCCTAAATATACAAGATAAAATTACATTTTATTTTTCAGGTCGGGTCAGATCGGATATTTTTCACCCTAATCCGAACCCGACTTGAACTCGAATTTTTTTAAAAAAAATCCGACGCAATATGATTTGGTCGGGTTTGGGTGCCATGTCCACCCTAGTAATACTTGTTTAAAATTCTTTTAGTCTATTGACAACGCATATACCATACACATACAATTACTTAAACTCAAATCTTCTTAAGAGAACAACATTTCTTATCATTGAGAACCGCTTAATAAATTCTTCCCTTATTCTTTAATAGTAATTATCTGTTTTTTTATACTTATAACAGTTCAAGCCTTTTAACTATAATTAAACTTTTCAATTACAATTACAAAATTCTGCCCAAAGTTGGCATTTTTAAAAGGTTGTTAGGAATATTAATGCTCCCTTCAACTGAATTTAAGTTGTATTAATATATTAAAGTTCCCTACTGAATTTAATTATATTAATATATAAAATATCCTTTCTAAGTGTTTACAACTGTCATTTCTAAAACGATTCCTTGAAGTTCGTCAGTCATGTGAATAAGGACTTTTAGAGATGGATAATAGGGTTTTGAGGTTTTTGAATTTCAAGTATATGCACATGTGGATTGGTTTGAGTTAAAATACTTGTCCAGTTAATTATGTAGTTTAGTATTTATATTAAGTTAATTGAGTCAATTTGATTTTAAAATTTTATAATATATAACACCATTTCATCCGTTAAACATATAAAATTTATTTATTTTAAATAATATGATGTGATTAGGGTAAACGAGCAGAGTCAAGTTTGGGTATTGTTGAGCTCGACTCGAGTTGAAAAATGTAAAATTGAGCTTGATTCAACTAAATAATTCACAAGTTTAAAATTATCAAGCTCGACACGAACTCGAAATAAAAAATTGAAGCTCGACTCGAAATCAAAAATTAAAACTTAACTCGAAATCGAAAAAACTTGGACTCAAAATATTTTCAAGCTTAACTCGATTGAAGCTCAACTCAAAATCGAACTTAAACTTAAGTACATGAAAGCCTTATTTTGTATTTAAATAAAACAACATATAAATCTTAATATTATTAATTACATAATTTAAAAAATCTAAAATTTTAATATATTATTTTTTTAGAGTTGCTCAAGAGCTTTTCAAGTAGTGTATCAAGTAGCTCACTTCAACTCGTTAAAGATTCAAGTCGAGTCCATTCGATTCAAAAATTGATCGATCTTTGACTGAATCGATCTCGAGTAGCTCGCGATCTGTCTCGTCTCATTTACAATCATAGATGTGATTATAAGATAATATTTATCTAAAATATTTCTCATTGACAATATATGTATTTTATACATATAAATGTTCGAAATTAATTTTTTTAAAAAGAATAACATTTTGTTTCACTATTAAAACTACTTGATGAATTGGTAATGATTAAAATTTACATTTTAAAAAGTGAAGCATATTGGTATCAAATTTGGATAGTGAACGGGATTTTTGAAAACAATAATGAAATTTTCTAAAAAGGTATTGTGTAAAATAGCCACTTGTAAGGTATGACTCATAAATATACCGGTAAAGAGGACAGGGGATGGAGCGGAGTGAGCGAAGCGAACATCAACTGTCTTACAAAGAAAGTCTTGTAGAGGGGGTTACGATTATGTGGGTTGGGGGTGCGGGGGTTGCGCCCCCGCGGTACGGTACAAGGTTAATTTTGTAATTATGTACCAGGATTTTCTATTATAAATAGAGATGTAACCTAAACTATTATCATTGAATAAAAATTTCTAGCGTCGCCTAGGCACCGAGACGTAACCACATTGTCGAACCTTTTCGTTTACTTTGCCCGATTTATCAACAATTGGTATCAGATGTCAGGAGCAAAATACGAAGTTGCGAAATTCGATGGTCTGGGTAACTTCGGATTATGGCAAACGAGGGTGAAGGATCTGTTGGCGCAGCAGGGGATCCTGAAGGCTTTGCAACCTACAAAGTCGGCGTCGATGGAGGAGGAAGATTGGGAAGAATTGCAACAACGAGCGGCAGGAACCATACAATTATGCTTGGCGGACGAGGTTATGTATCACGTCATGAATCTATCGTCTCCAGACGAAATTTGGAGGAAGTTGGAAAGTCAGTTTATGTCCAAATCCTTAACGACAAAACTGTATCTAAAGAAGCGGCCGTATGGGCTGAAGATGCAGGACGATCATGATTTGGCGCAACACGTGAATGTCTTCAATCAAATCGTTTCTGATTTGGCTCGGCTTGATGTAAAAATTGAGGATGAAGACAGAGCAATGATTTTGTTGTGTTCGTTGCCTCCCTCTTACGAACACATGGTGACTACTCTTATATATGGGAAAGAGACTATCAACGTTGAGGAGATTATTGCAGCCTTGTTGGCTCACAACCAGCGGAAGCAGAATGCAGGGGAAAACTCTCAAGCCGATAGCTTATATGTCAAGGGTAATCGAGACCGTGGACGGAAGCCAGAGAAGGCAGGGTCTGGCAAGCGGAATTCCAGATCCAAATCTAGGGATAAGAAGACAATTCACTGTTACAAGTGCAAGGAGGCGGGACATATGAAGCGAGACTGTCCGAAGTTGAAAAAACAGACTGATGAGAAGCGTGATGTTTCATCCAAGTCTGTGAACGTGGTCGAGGATGACAATTCTGATTGCAGTGAGGTTGATATGCTTTCTATTTCAACGACTCAATTGACGGATGCGTGGATTCTTGATTCTGGATGTTCTTATCACATCACGCCAAATAGGGAATGGTTTTCGACATACATGTCGGTTAATTCTGGTTCTGTTTATTTGGGTGATGATCGATGTTGCAATATTGTTGGTATTAGTGATGTCAGAATTAAGATGTATGATGGCTCTGTTCGGACGTTGAGTGGTGTTCGACATATCCCGGATTTGAAGAAGAATTTGATTTCTTTGGGAACTTTGCACAAGAATGGTTTTATCCCGAAGGCTGATGAGGATAGGGAAACCATTCGGATTGTTAAAGGTGCTTTGACTGTGATGAAAGGAAAGATGACTGCAGGAAATATTTATAGATTGTTAGGGAGTACCGTTGCATGTGGAGTTTATTCTGTTGAATCTTGTGATGATACTACAAAACTGTGGCATATGTGTCTTGCTCATCTTAGTGAACGTGGTATGACAGAATTACACAAAAGAAATCTGTTGCATGGTGTCAAAAGCTGTAAGCTCGATTTTTGCAAGTATTTTGTTCTTGGTAAACAGACTAAAGTCCATTTCAAGACTGCGAAGCACACAACTCATGGGATTCTTGATTATGTGCATTCTGATGTATGGGGGCCTTCCACGACATCGTCTTTGGGTGGATATAGGTATTATGTTACTTTTATTGATGATTTTTCACGGAAAGTTTGGGTGTATTTTTTTGAAACAGATTTCTGAAGTTTTTGAGAAGTTCAAGCTGTGGAAAAGAGAGGTAGAAAACCAAACAGGATGAAAAATCAAGTGTTTGCGGTCTGACAATGGTACGGAGTACACAGATTCACAGTTCTTAGACTTCTGTAAGGAGCACGGGATTAAGAGACATTTTACAATGCGCAAGACACCACAACAGAATGGTGTTGTGGAACAGATGAACAGGTCGTTGAATGAAAGAGCCAGATGTTTGCGGTTGAATGCGGGGCTTCCCAAACACTTCTGGGCTGAGGCTGTTAACATGGCGTGTTATCTTATCAACAGATCGCCAATGGCATCATTGGTTGGGAAAGTTGCAGAAGAGGTATGGACTGGTCATGATGTTAGTTTTGATAACTTACGGATTTTTGGTTGTCCTGCTTATGTGCATGTACCTGCTGATGAGAGATCCAAACTTGATGCAAAATCGAAGGAGTGCATTTTTTTGGGTTACAAGAAAGGTGTCAAAGGATTCAAGTTCTGGGATCCAGTTGCGAAGAAAATTGTGATCAGTAGAGATGTTGTTTTTGATGAACAATTCATGTTGTAACAGAAGAAAGACATGACAATGGTGGATTTCGAGCAGTTTCCAGTTGAGAAACCAGCAACGTCTAACCGACTTCTGGTGGTTCCACTACGGATGAT